AAGTGGGTCATAGTAACCTGATGGTGATATGACTGCTGTCTATGCAGTTAATGAGTTTTATGTTCCAGAATGGAGCAATCTTTCCAGCAGACTGTGCTGTGTAGACTGCAATGGATGTTTCTTTATCTAGGATACAATTCAGGCTATTTTCATTATCATATTGATAAGGTTAGGATATGATGTGAAGCTATTCATTGTAGAAAGAAATGAGAAAATATTGATGACTGGCACTTAACTTTTGTGGTGAAAGCTGATGGACAGGTCTATTTCTGAAACACATGGATGCTCTGAAATCAGCTAATTCAGATTAAAGTGGACAATTCTTCACTGCCCATTGCATTGCTTCTGGATGCCTCTGTCCGCTAGTTAACAGTAGAAAGACATCAATACTGCTGAGATTTCGCTGACTGTAAAAGGTCCCTGCCGCAATCTCAGAGCCTCCAGTTGCTAAAGTTTAGGATTTTTCTCTGCAACAACTCTCATGAATTCCTGGAATGCCAGGGCATGTTCATGAAGAACCTGGGGAATATTTTCCTATTTCTTTTGACCCTTACTATCCCCTGCTTCAAAGTCCTATAGTTATTGAAATGACTCCTGAGATTTTATCACCTTCCACAAAATACTGCTTTCCCTACACTAACATCTTCCTGTCTGATCATTATTCAAATTGATCTAGATAACTGCAACTATAGAAAAGCATGCCAAGGCACACTGTTCTCTCCCCTGTGTCTCTGACCAGGCTTCCCCAAGTCTGTGTGTTTTAAGTTATTCTATATCACGTAGACTCTAGGCTTCCATCTATAAGAGAGTTCACAGGTAGAGTTAGCGATGCTAACACGTCTCTTAAAAAGATGGTGCTGAAGGAGCTTTTGTTCTGACACATAAGATTTACAACTCTTTTGGCGACTTTCCCGATGTACTCATCAGCTATCACTCTCCCTTTGGTCTTGAGGCATGCAGAGCAGTCCCGGGCAAATCCTTGATGCTCATCAAGTAACACCTTCAAAACACTTTGATTTACTGAACACAATTGAACCTGAGAACACTTGTGGTCCCCACCAAGCACTGATACTTAAATGTGTGTTTTTTCTTTATATCTGCCTTCAGATTATGTGCTCCTTAAGTCCATCAAAAGAACATGACAATTCTCTTTGGGAGCAATGAATTTCCAAGCAACACAGCCTGTGCCAGCATTGGTTGGGAGTAGCAGGCAGACTTTGCAGTGCAAGGCATTACAAGCCCGGGACAAGCTTAGAAATACTCAAGCTGTCAAGGACAATTATAGTGAAATGTTCAGGACAAAGAACTCATTAGAAGTTATATGTGATGAGTTTAGACATTGGAAATGAGACCAAAGTGGCCTTGCAATGTGGGGAAAACTATGCGCATTCACAGGTGTTGTGTGTGTCTGTTTCCACAAGCAAAAGGTGACAGAATGTTTGTATTATATCGTCTTAACAGAGAGAGTAAACGAGGAAAATCTGTCAGCCAGCATAACTCCTGAATAAATGCAAAGATACCTTGCTCTTGTGCAGTAGAGCTCAGGTCTTTAAGAAACTAATGTCTCTCTACACCTCCCCATGTTATGCCTCCCCCAATCCAAAGAGAAACGTTAGCAGGGTGTGGAGGCTGCACTTGAAGATGGATGTTAACTTGATACGATGTTCTTAAATTCGCATGGAAAAGTTAAAAGGTGATGAGGACTGAAGGGGAAAATGTTGGTAACAGGGAGATAAGAGAGTCCTGCTGCCACACAGCAAAGCCCAGCACGAGGGACCTCAGAGCAGCGCCCTGCTGGCACAGAGATGCCTAGCAGAGCCTAGGAGTGATCCCAAGCCATCCTCTCAGGAAGAATGGGGACAAAGGGTATGTGAAAGGATGCTGTATTTCATAAATGGGGGTTGGGAGAAAGTGAATGCAAGTTTCCTACCAGCAGAACCAACTCCAAGTAGATGGTGTAGAGATGAGTAAATATAGTGAGAGTTGACACGGTGAAGTTATTAAAGAAATACAAGTGTGTTTCATACTGAAAAAAGGAGCTCTGAAACTGACATGAAGATATGAAGCTATCAACAAAAATATTGATATATCTAACCACAAAACAAAATGAAATTCATATCAAAGGTCAAAGGACCAACAGCAAAGTAGTTTTAGACATATGTCCAAGATTAGCTTTCCTTCCTCCAGTGTGTGTGTGTGTGTGTGTGTGTGTGTGTGTGTGTGTGTGTGTGTGTGTGGTGTTGGACATTTGCAATACATATTTCCAAGATCAGCTTTCTTTTCTCCTGTGTTCACATGTGTGTGATGCACCTTCATGTGTGTAAATATGTGTGTGCATGCATATGAAAAGACCTCAGGTGTCATTCTTCGGGAGCTGTCTACCTTAATTTTTTGTTAAATACATTCTGTGTCTTGTTTTGTTTTTTGTTGAAATAGTGTCTCTCACAGGAATCTGGGGCTTGCCGACTTGAAAGGGTTGACCTGCCACTGGATAGCAAGCACTTGCTACTACACCCAGCTTTTTACATGGGTTTTGGGACTCAAACTCAGGTTCTCATGCTTGCATGGCAACTACTTTGTCAACTGAACTATCTTTCCAGCCCACAGGGTCTGATTTTCTTACTGAGTTAAGGGCATCACTGGTTTATGAATAAACATACACACATTCATAGCTACACAGAGGTCATGCATGCACACATGTGTGCACATTCAGAGAGACACATGTACATGCACACACAGAGAGACTACTTTAATTTTTTTCCAACTACATTCCTAATATGTGCCCTGGGAATGTTAGGCTTTTACCATAAATTTAGAATATCTTTTGCCTTAGTACAATTTTGTAATCAGGTTTTTACAGTGGTGTAAGCATGTGAAATTGTTATAAACACAAATTAACCTGTGTGGATATTATGTCTACCTTTAACTGGAAATTGATGGTTCTTAGTCTTTTCGTAGACAAAGTCTTCTTTAAGAATCGGGTTGGAGAGATGGCTCAGTGCTTAAGAGCCTGCACTGGTCTTGAAGAAGGCCCACATTCAGTGTGAGGCAGTTCAAAACTGCCCATAACCCCAGCTCCAGGAGATTCTGATCCTCTGGCTTCCTTAGGTATCTGCATTCACATGCAAGTAACCACACACACACACACACACACACACACACACACACACACACATATGCACGGAAATAATAAAAATAAACCTTTTTAAGACTCAGAATCTACTTAGGGCCTACTCCCTAAAGGGTGAAACACAGGCACTAGAGTACTGAGTGAGTCCTGACTTTGACTCTAAATGAATCTTCTAGAGTAAGCTCAGGACAGGCACCTCTTGTTGCATAACAAACGACCACAGACTTAACTGGTTGAGACAAGCACCTCTATAGCTTGTGATTCTGCAGGCTGGCTACTCAGCCTGTTTCTGGGGAGAGAAGGTATCAGCACAGTGCTGCCTGCAGTCAGAGAATCCAAGATCGAGCCACATACTTGTGGAGATGCTGGGTCCACCCATCAGTGAGGGGGTGTGTGCAATGTTCCCCATTCACCTTCTCCAGCAGTGTGCCCTGGATCTCAAGGCAAGAAGAGAAGCCACGTCATCTCAGAAGGCCACAGCACATGGGCAAAGTGTCACTTCACACATCCCTCCAGTTCTTGCAGGAATGAGGACAGCACAGACTAAGGAGGGGTGTGCTTGTGCAGAAAGCAAAGCATTTTCACCATGAGAAAGGACACTGAAGGGAGGAACCACCGTGGCCATTTCCAGAGAGTCTGCTGAGCACAATGGCATGTGGTCCTAGATAACAGGGAAACCGAGGCAGAAGTGTACATCATCTGACCCTGGGAGTTCAAGGAGAGCCTGGGCTGTATAACAAAACCCATCCCCAAAACTAACTCCACAGAACAACAGAGGTGTCTGAAAACATGCCACTTTTGACCCCCAGTGATCTAGGCCCTACCATCCACACTCAGAAGATAACAGCCTAAAAGTGGCAATAAAATACCATCTTTTCAAGCCAAACGACCAAGAGGTTCTTGGTTTGTCTTCTTCACCTTATCTAAAATTTCCTAAAGGTAAAGCTATGTGTGTATGAAATGGGGAAGAAGTGTCCATAGGTATGACTTGTTTTAGCCACTTAAAATGTGTAGTGCTTGTCCATTACTAGGAAAACTCAGCTTAGCATCCCTTCAGAAAACCTGTGCAGTTCTGGGGGACACAACTCACAGGGCCCTTATAGAGGGTCTCAACACCCACAAAGACTTAGAAATGAAATTTATTATCTTACACCCAAGAGAACTTGGGTTCAATGTGATTAGCCTCACTACATAGCTACCTCCCCTATACATGTTCACACACAGTATCTTCCACTGCAGTGGCTGTAGACAGTCAAAGGTCACCAAGCCTGTAAAGAAAGCATTGATAAAGCAGAAAATAGAAGGAAGTGAATAGACAAAGAAAACAGGCAACAAAGGAAATGGAAATGGGTAGAAATACCTATCTAGTCTTGGATAAGCTAGAAGATGCCATGTGTTAATAAAGAGCAGGATTCATGAAAGGGACGAGAAAGAAAAGCACCATTGCCATGGTAATTTTGGTGTGTACTTAGTGAGAACTTGGTCCATATCCAAACTTCCAGTCACTGAATTGGTCCATATCTGCAGCTGCCACAGCCACCTAACAGAAAGAAGACCTGAGAAGACCCCACTAAACCTCGATGCGGGTCAGGCTGTGTGTGTTTCCTTGGGCCAGGTGAAAACATGGAAACTGCTGAAATGGACTCATCCCCAAAGCAACCCCTGAAAGGCGGATGTCCCCAATTGTCTGTGGAGACAATTGTAGAAGGGAGGCTATTTTTAATGCTTGGATATGGCTCAAGTTCCTTTCAAGAGCAGGAAGAAAGTATTCAAAATAATATGGTTGACAGAGTATAGCATTAAAAATAAAATAACTTCCTGAGCTTGGGCTCTCAGTCTCACAACTTTAGCTTTTTCCTACGAGTGTTACCTGTGATGGCGACAGCCATATCCCTGAGCATCTTCGAGACTGCCTGTCTGTGTCTCCCACTGCCAGCCTGGGGTCTCTCCTGAAATGCACGGGCAGTTTGAAAGTCCCAGTCAGCATCCTGTTGCAGAAATGAAAATATTTAACATGTAGGCAGAAGAATAATGATGTCGAGAAAGTACCAGCAAGAGGAGGATAAAGAGAAGGGACTGTTTATAAAAGGGGGAGGGAGACAACTATTTGGAATGCTAGAAAAAAGGAAGAGAGAAAACAAATAGGAGAAAGTTACCTAAAAGTAAAGAAGTGACTGGAAGTATCTGGAGGTAAATGGAGGGTGTTGAAGGTCCATACTGGAAAAAGGAGTAGTTAGGGTAGCAACTGAAAACTGAACTAATTGAAAAACAGTAAGCCAAAAAGGTCAATATCAAAAAACATGATGTGATAAGGAATCCCAAGAGAATGAGAAGTGGTTCGAAGAACATCCAGAAAGGAGAAAGTCGAACTTGAAATAATTAGAATCACAAAGACATCAGAATTTTTAACAGCTACATTATAGGAAAGAAAACATACAAGCAACATTTTATAATTCTAAAAGAAAAATATTTTCTCTGACTAAATGTTTCATTCAGTGTGAGCATGTACTTCAGATGCAAGGGCTCAGTCTGTTTCTCTTCAGTGTGTGTGTGTGTGTGTGTGTGTGTGTGTGTGTGTGTGTGTGTGTGCACATGCATGTGGGTGTGCTTGCCCATGCAGGTGCATGTGGAGGCCAGAGGATGATGTTGAAAGTCTTCCTCAGTCACGTCTTCACCTAATTTTTTTACACAGGATCTTTAACTATACCTGGAGCTCCACATCCAGGATAAAAATGTCTGTTTATAGCAGACTGTCTGGCCAGGAAGCCCTCAGATCCACAGAACTCTGTCCCCCAGCACAAGCATTGTAGAGACTTGTCCCTATGCCTGGCTTTTACATGGGTGCTGGAGATTTGAACTTAGGTCCTCATGCTTACACAGCAAGCACTGTACCTACTGAGCTGCCTCCCAAACCTCAGTGTTCTTTCTTTTCTGCTTTGATCTTTGAGTTTTGGCTGAACCCTAAAATAGAAAGAGCTTATGAAATTAAGTATCCAACCCAGGAAATGAGAAATGTGAATACTAAAGAGGTGATGGAAGGCTACTCACAACTGTGGCTCAGAAGAAAACAAGCCTATACTGAACGAAGACAAAGCTGTCATTGATATGTAGTACAGTATATTTGTCTATCGAAACACAATATGCCCCAAGTAAGAGCATCTGTTGCTCTTGCAGAGAACCAAGGTTCAGTTCCCAGCACCCACACAGTGGCTCACAGCCTGTCACTCCAGTTCCAGGGGATCTAATGCCTTCTTCTGACCTCTGCAGACACTACAGGCATGTAGCTACATACATGCAAACATAATACCCACTCACATTAAATAAGTAAATAAGTTATTTTTTGGTTTGTCCTCGCTTTATAGACCAGGCTAGCCTCAAACTCATAAAGATCCGCCTGCTTCTGCCTCCCAAGTATTGGGATTAAAGGCGTGTGCCACCACCTCCCAGCAGGTAAATAAATCTTAAACAAACAAACAATACCAAAGACAGAAACATATCAAATGAAATTAAGAATATATATTAAAACTAAGGCAGTTTATAGGAGTAGCAACTATGTACTTGCAGAAAAAAGTAAATATTTGTGTAGGAATGAAGAAAAGGGAGGGGCTCAGATCTACTGCACAGGTCACACCAGAAATACTGTTGAATTATGAATGTATTTGAGAATTATAGTACGGTACCTCCCCATCCTCAGGGAGGCTTGGTAAGCCCCTGAGTACATGCCTGAAACCACAGAGAATACCTCACCTCATAAACTGTTTCTTACTATACAGAGAGAACTATGATAAAAGTTCATTTATAAGCTAGACTCAGTAAGAGATTAAAGCAAAAATTTATAATCAAATGTAACAATTACAACATATATTGTAGTAAAACAAATTCCACCCACAGAAGTTAAAATTTACAAATTGTTTACTTTGGAATTTTCCATTTACTATTTTCAGAACCCATTTTCTGGGGGTAACTGAAGTGGCAGGAAGCGAAGTTGTAGGGAAGAGGTCTCCTGTGCTGCAAATGTGTCATTAGCTATGTGGTAAGGAGAATGGTGTGAGAGACGCATCCCACTACTCTATTAATGGCAAAGGGTAGAATTCATGTATTAAGAAATGGCACCAAGGGCCTGGAAAGGTTACTCAGTGGTTAGGAGCACTAGCTGCTCTTCCAGAGGACCTAGGTTTGATTCCCAGCACCCACATAGTGACTCACAACCATTTGTAATTGCACATCCAGGGGCTCTGGTGCCCTCTTCTGTCTTCTGCAAGCACCTGGAACACATGTGGAACACAGGCGTATATGCACCCAAAAGACCAAGATATGTTTTTTTTTTAAATCAAATAATTTTAGAAGGTTTTAAAAATAAATAGCCTTATAACATCATGTGGAATGGAAAAGAAGGCAGAGTTCCAGAGTGTTGAGGTGAAGGGTGTTCAATTGCTGTATTTCTTTTATCACAGTTTTTAAGTATGTATGGATTGATAGTGAAATTAAGTAAACAGAAGTAATATTCAACAAGTCTTGATGCAACTTAAACCAGGTTGATTCAAACTCCTCATATGAATGAGCACTTTGGGAGGTGAAGCAGGGACATAGCCCTGCCCGTGATGCCTTGCTTAGAGAGTATAGAGCAGAGTGACTGGGTGTAAAGTAGAGGGGTAAATATGATCTGCAGCTTCCATGTGCTGGCTGCTACCCAGAGCACTCTCTGTGCCTGTATTCTCTCATCCATGCGGGTGACAGGCTGGGGCAAAGTGACTGAGAGGATTGGTGGGATAGCATGAGTGGCTGATAGTGGGTGACTGTTTCACTGCCTGGCACATACAAAAGCAATCAGTAGCATGAATTCTGTTTTAGCTAGAAAGGCATCCACCAGGAAATGCCTATGGAGAATGCCACTGGCAGTGGGGAGCAGAGCCTGCAGACTGTCTAAGCCCAGCTGCATGGAGATGACTGTCAGTGCAGGTTGCTGGCTTGAAATTGATGGGCTTTGGAGTCCCAGCCTGGCAGCTGGTGCTTCCTGCCTCTGCCTCCTGATCTGTGCTTGTCAGCCCAGTTTAGCACCTCCCCACTTTTTCTTGGCCCTACTGTTTGCCACCCCTGCTATGTGGCCACCTCCTAAGACTTCTGCCTGGGGGAAACTGCTCTGGTATCCACCCCTCATCCTGGCTGTGAACTGAAAGGCCACTCTGAGTTCACTTCCTGAGGCTCCTGCCAGAGCTCAGATAACCAGCCCAGCAGCCAGAGTCCCAGTCTGCACTTTCTGCAAGGCCAGACCCTGCAACATATCACGAGAAACAGCAGGAAAAACAAAAAGTTTTAACTGCATAGATTTTTGTGGGGTATGTAGTAATATTGTCACACATTAGCCTTCTAAGTATTGCTTAGGGTACAGTTTGGCTTATAAAACAGGTTTAAAAGCATGAATGTGTGGTATGCTCTTAAGAAGAAAATATGAAATTGTGTATTACATATGATTTACCTATGAAAGAATTTTAAAAAGATAACTGGAAAGAAATTAAGATCTTAAGAGTCAATCGTGGTCCAGAGATTTCCCCCATTCATTCTTCTTTTCTCTTCCCGTCTGCCTAACATCCCTTCATCATTTCTTCCTTTTTTCCTCCAGGACAGAGAGTGTCTATTATTTTGTCATGAGAAAAAATATAAAATGAACAAATAAACTGGGCATGGTGCCTCATGCCTGTGTTCCTAGCACTTGGAAGCCTGGGGTCAGAGGATTGCCAGCCTAGATATACCAAGACCCCATCTCAGATAAACAAAAGATAAATAACAGTTAAGTTTAATTACCACATTAGATACTTTTAGACTTCAGAACACTTAGGTGAGAGAACCTAAAAAACTCATTGAGTTTTTTGGAACCAAACATAAGATTCCTTGACATGGTACCTTATGATTACTGTCTGATTTTTAGATTCCTGTAAATAGCTCAGCATTGGAAAAGGACAAAACATAGTGCTCTTTTCTCCCATCAAACCAGCTTGAGGCATGGAAAGGCAAGAACCATTCGAACAAGTGTACCTGCCTCTCTCCTGACTTATGGCTGCAAGTTGTCCTTGCAGTTTGGTTTTAGTGACATAGAGTTGTGTAACAAACAATATTGGGAAGGAAGGGCTGTGATGGCCAATTGCACACTACATGATACAGATAAGATGAGACCTGCTCACTGGGGAGCCCAGGCCCCTGCTGTGTGCCTCAGCTGTACTTCTATGGCCAGGGCTTGTGGAGGCCCCAGAGGACAGGGAGTAGATGGAATTTCATATGTCTAGATATTCTCCGTGAATTAATACACAAGGATTGGCCATCAACCCCCACACTCACAGAAATTCTGTCCCACTGGTGGAACTAAGCCCCAGGCATCTCAGTCTATCAGAACAGGCTGCTCCTTAGACTCTGAAGTTTTGCAGCTGTGGACTGCATCAGAAGTGGCAGGAATTAACAAGTGTGTCTTTTGTTCATATATAGGTGGTCAGTTGTCCTCACTACCATCCTTCTCTTTCACTCTTCAGGAAAGTTAGAACACATTTGCCCATACAGCAGCTTCACAGGGTATGTGCATCCTGGTAGACTGTCTGCCCAGCATGCACCCAGCCCTCGGTTCAATCCCCAGCAAGAGCTATGACAGATTTGCAGTATGGTAAACCATGCTATGTAACCACTACAACAAAAGCATTTTATCTTCTCTTTTCTAAAAACAATGATTGCATTTGTGTGTGTGGCTTGTGTGCAGAGGTCAGAAGACAACCTGCACGAGTTGGTTCTTTCCTTCTACCATGTGGGTCCCAGGGATGGAACTCAAGTTGCTCAGGGTTAGCAGTAAGTGCTTTTAACCACTGACAGCCCCAAAGCATTTTCTTAAAAATACAATTTCAAATTCAAAATCTTAATCACCACCACTGTGGCTCAATAAGGAAATATTTTGTTCCTTTTGAAAAAAATTATAGAAAGTTCCCTCACTCTAGCAGAAGATAACCCCAATCTCCAAAGGCTGTAGCCAGAATTATATATGGCTCATTCCACCTCCAAGCACCATTGTTTGGTCTAGTGGAAGCTCTGAACTGTGTGGTATGATTGGAATATTAAATATCTCACTGCCTTGAGGCGTTTGCTCCTGCTGTCATCTGCTAGAAGATTCTTTTTTTTTTTTCAGATTTTTTTATTTGAACTAGAACAGGATTGTTTTACATGACAATCCCAGTTTCCTTCTCCCTCCCGTCCTCCCCTACCACCCTCCCCAACTAAAACCCTACCTATCACATACCCTTGCTGCTCCCCCTGGATGGTGAGGCCTTCATTGGGTGTCATCAGAATCTATCATATGCTAGAATATTCTTTCACCAATCCCTGCACATCTTCCCCTTACATCTCCCACTCTTGGTTCTGGCAGTACCTAATCTTTTTTGTGAGTCTTTCAATGAGTGACATCCCTGTAGCCCAACATTCTGCTAGCCTCCAACCCTCACACGGCTTCATTCCCATCCACTGTTTACTACCACCTTAAATTATAGGACAGGTATTTACTGTCTATCTTAATTGTCATTCTTGAGCAACGGAGTAGGTGTTCATGCATGTGCATGCAAGCACACACACACACACAGGCACGAGTGCAGGAGATATTAAATGAGGCAAAGAGACATAAAAGTTTCTGGGATGGTGATCACTGTGGGGCCATATTCCATAATTTCCAAATCCAACAAACTTCTGAGTTCCATCCTCTTTTGCTGTAGGGAGGATGGAAGGGAGGCTTGAAGACAGCATGCAGACCTGTGTCTGCTAAGGGGACAATCTTGTTAGCACATCCCAGGCTCTTGTTAGTGTCTTGATCTCATAGTTGGACTGTGTGACACTATCTAGAGCTGGTATGTAAACTAAAGGGAATGAGAAACACACACACACACACACACACACACACACACACACACACACACACAGATGGGGAGAGAGAGAGAGAGAGAGATCTGCCTACTCTTTGGAAAGATGGCTGGAGGAGTGTGTGTTATATAGACTCACTCAATGTCAGTTCCTAATGGTTTTAGCCAGAATCTTTTACACTCTCAGGTTACTTTAGCAAATGGCCACCATGTGACTACCAGCATACAAGGAGCCTCCTTTTAAAGCTCAGAAGACTGAGTAAACCAGACTCCCCCATGAAAACTTACATGGATTTCTGTTAAACATGTTTTCAGAGTCTAAATCATCTATTCATTTATTCAATTTCATCAAGGAAAGTAAGGCTAACCCTCAAAGGTTCGCACCAATTGAACTGTACATGTCACTAAAGCAATTAAGATACTCATGAACTACCTGGTGAATGGCCACTACCCACCAGGATCACGTGGCGTTTCTCAAGATAACCTTCAACAGGAAGCTAGAGAAATGACTCAGCTAGCAAAGCACTGGCCAGGAAAGCATGAGGATGTCAGTTTAGCACCCAAACAAAAAGCTAGGCATGGCTGTACTGTTTGCAAGTCCAACATTGGTGGCTAAAATTAGGAAGAGCCCTGGGGCTTGCTAGCCAGTCAGTTAGACCAATCATTGAGCTCCAGGTTCTTCGAGAGACCCTGTCTCAAAACCTGAAGTGGAGAGCAATTGAGGAAGACATCAACTTTTAACCTCCATATGCATAAGAAAACACATGCACACATAAACACAAATGTACTCACATACACACACATACACACACACACATGCACGCACAACATACATGTACACACATGCACAGATATACACACACACACACATACACACACACACACACACACACACACACACACACCACTAGTCCTCTACCTGCAGCAAGGGAGTCCTTAGGAACATCATCTAAACCATTCTGCTGCTGAACCATTCTAAACAGCAGGACCACCACCATGATGAAAGATATTGAGTCTCTCTGGCCTGACACTGTTACAGCAATTATTCTTCTGTTCAAAAGATTGATATCCATTCTGACCTAACAAACCTGAGACTACGTTAACAGAGATGGGAGTCACATTGCCTGAAGATAGTAAAACCTTCTGAAACTCACTAGATAAACAGGTCCCCAGAAACTAATTCTGTTACCTTGATCACCAAAGGAAACCTCACACCCAATCTGAGATGCAATCAGCCAATGTGAGATCCATTGAACTCCTCTGAGATTCATGCAGCTCATCTGAGGTCCATTTTGCTTATCTGAGATCCATTCAGCTCCTCCGAGATCCGCTCAGCTCATCTGAGATTCATTGAGCTCATCTGACAGCTTTTCCAGAGAAAGGACCATCTCATTTCACAGGTCCATCCACAGTGCACAGGGATCTTGGTCTCTAGGTCCTGTGCTATAGCCATGGCTGGACTACGTCAGTGCAGTGAATCACATTCACAGGGAAGCCAGCACTGCACTGACTAATCACATATACATCAACACTTGGCACTCTGTGTGTTCTCTGGAAGTTAGTCCTTGGAAGTTCCCATGGAATTACTTGGACCTCAGTAATGTGAGCACAGTCGTTTGATTTAATGCAGTTTCTGAGAAATTCCTGAGAAATAAATTAAGAAGAGCCCTACTGTGGAGACAGCCACATGCTTGCAGCATGCCAAAGAGCCAGAGTCAGATTTGTGGATCCTACTCTGGGCTTATGGAAAGGAACTTCAGCCTGTCGACTGCTGGATTGAGCATGAGAAGGGAGACTGCACTTGGGGTAGCCACCTACCGACACCCTTCATCTCAAGAAGAACAGGAGGTCATGATACCTCTGCCAGGGTCAAGGCTGGTGCCAGGGCATCCTGAAGAACTTTGAAAGGAGAGAAAGAGACTTTGTTTCTATAGTTTTCTTCTCAATGGGGTTCAGTGATTTTCATCCCTTTAGGGCACATCCCTGGTGAGCTACCTTCACCTTGATGGGACAGAAGTGGTTTTCCAGATGCTTGAGTGAGTGCTGGATTGAAGCACACTCCCACTGAGACCTGTTTCTGGTAAATGTTCAAAGTGATAAGCCACCCTGCCAAGTCCATGCTATACAGTGGAAAACACAGCCCTCCTATTTTGAGTCCTGCATCTGCTTTCATTTCTCAGGAAGCCCTGGACGTTTGATTCAATGTGTGAGTATAAGCAAAACAAAGCGTTGCTTAGGGAGGTAGGCCAGGTGGCTCAGTGGGTAGAGTCGCTTGCCCACACAAGCCTGGAGACCTGAAGCCCACATGGTCAAAAGTAGACAGCTTTTACCTAGAGGTTGTCCTCACATGTATGCCATGCCTCAGAGCTGGGGGTGGGGGGGAGAGGGCATTGCAAGAGGAGACTGAGGAGACTTCTCAGCTAACTAAAGCATGTGCCAGGCAAATCTGTGGACTAGCATTCGAATCCCCAGAACCCACTTAAATGTGAGGTAGATGTGTTAACCCTCCTGTAAACCCAGCAGCTGGGAGTGAGATAGAAGACCCTGAAGCAAACTGGCTAGCCAGAGTAGTCATGTCAGCAGGTTCCGGCTTCAACTCAGAGCCTGCTTCAGTGAGCGAGCCAGTAAGAAAGGTACCAGATGTCATCCTCTGGCCTCCACACACATGTTTCTTCCCCAACACACAAACACAAACACACATGCCAAAAAAAAAAAAAAAAAAAACTTATTTTAGAATGAAGAGAAGGTTTCTTCGGGTTTTACATAAATTTCTACAAAGCAGGAGAGAAACAACCTACTTCCCTGTGGCTCTATCTTGAATTATTTCCCTCAGGTTTCCTCTAGACGTATCAGATTTTACATTTCACATTAAGGTCTTTGATTCATTTTGAATTGACTTTTGTCCAGGGTGAGAGAGGTGGATCTAGATTCAGTCTTCTGTATATGAGTGTCCAGTTTCCCAAGCACCATTTGTTGAAGGGACAAACAAGAAATTTTAGAAAGAAGACTTGTCTGGGAAAGAAGGAAGAACACAGAAGTGGGTCAGAGTCTAGCTAAGAACTCTGGGAAGGCCTTTTCTTTGAGAGAACTATTGACAGAGCTTAGAGCAAATTAAAGCCCAGCAAATAGTCATGAAGAATTGGCTTGTGAATTTCATTGCTGGGCATCTGGAAGGCACAGAATCATTGCCATTTCATCTCAGAATCATCATCTGTCACTTCTGCTGATGTTTCTGTCTTGTCACAAGTGCTGGAGAGTGAGCTAGCAGGTCTCAAATTGCCTTGCAATCTGTTTGCAGCCAAGAGAAAATAATCTAGATGGTAAGTTTTGCCACAGTGATTCCTTCCATGGGGACAGAGTGCATTCCTCAGGTTACAGCCCTTTCCTTAGTGGAATTTGCACTGGGACATTTAAGGTGTGACTCATGAAGCTGGTCCTGGATGCCATTTTGTGAGAAAGTCACAGAAGTAACTTCAGAGGATGTCTGCAAGGTCTGCAGACAGACACAGATGCTCCTGATGCCACCAAGGACATCTTCAACCGGTACAAACTTAATAGTATTATGTGTCTTCAAACCTCCAGGCTGAGCTTTCTGCTTGCTGATCCACCAAGAAGTGATCAAGCCACACAGCAAGCTTCTACCACTATGGACAAGAGGCAGATAGGCCTATATTCCTTCTCTTATTACCCTGGACACTGCCACCTAACCTTCTATACCTTCTCTTACAACCATAGGTAAATCCACTTAAGCCTCCATGCATTCCCATCATGATATCCCTTGGGACTCTGAGCCAAATCAAACCCTTGGGATGTTTCTGCCAGATAGTCTGTCATGGTGATGACAGAAGGAACACATGCAAACAAACATGCACAATCACACGCACACACACACACACACACACACACACACACACACACACAATCAAAACACTCATGCACAGGTGCATATATACATAAATGCCTACACACACACACACACACAGAGAGAGAGAGAGAGAGAGAGAGAGAGAGAGAGAGAGAGAGACAGACAGACAGACACAGACACAGACACAGAGAGACAGAGAGACAGAGAGAGAGCAAAGAAGCTTCTTCCCCTCTTTTAGTACTGTAAGAAGTACTAAAATGTAGAAATTACACGTCCAATGAGTTGAAGGGAAACTTTTTCAGAGACCTCATCAGGATGTTGTTCCTCAATTTGTGTGTGAGTCACCACAGGATGTGTCACGATTACTAGGACATATACCCTGCCCATTGCAGAAACCAAATCCCATAGAAGAAAGCCTCATCAGCACCCCATCCCTGCACTGTTGTGATGCTGGCACATGATGGACCCTCAGTAAACACATATTGAATGGATGAATCAAAAAGTCCACATACACACCTGCAGATGCTCAGCTGGTACCTAGTTCTAGTTGCACAAGCTATGAAGCATGCTGGGTGGTCTTGAGCTTTTTTGGATATTTTAGTTCAGGAATATGAGGTTATGAAAGACAGTGGAGCCCATACTCAGCCTCCTCTATTTATATACTTTTAGCTCCTAGTCCGACTTAATATTTCTGTATTTTTGCCCTTAATCACTGAGGGACTTTGACTATCGTGCTTCATGTGCGTGCTATGTGTGGGAGCCCAGAACAGTTGTCATTAATCATTTCCTGTTAGAATTATCACTAGCCAGCTCCTCTTGTGTTTCCTCTGGAATGTCACAGGTGCTGAAATACAGCCTGGCAGGCTCTGCCACCCATAGACAGGTTCCATCCATGACACAAGTCTCTGATCTAAGATGGAGCTTGTGGTGAAGACTTGGCCAGCTGCTGTGACACCAAGTCAGGCTTCCTGTCTGTTGTGATTTGAAGATGAGATGTCACCTATAGCCTCGAATGCTTGAGCTCATGATTCCCGCAGTCAGTGTTGTTTGGGAATGAACCTCTAGAATGTGCAGTCTCACTGGAGAAAATGGCTTTGAGTCCACTCCTACTTCTTGTTCACTTTGTTTCCTGAGTGCAGATGTAATGTGACCAGCCAGCATCCTGATCCCACACCCATGCCCTGGTTGCTGCCATACCGCCGTGATGGACCTTATCCTTCTGGAATGACATTTGCCAGAATGTCAAAAGTACTAAATCAAAATCCCCTTTCTCTCTTAAGTTAATTTCGTCATATTTTATCACAGCAATAGGAAAGTAAACAAGACAGCACTATGTTCTTCCCCACAGCTGTTTGACACCTTCCTAGTGCATGAAATAAAAAGATCTGCTGAGACTGTTCCGAGATGACATTTGCTTTCTAAGGAAATGGAGAGACAAAGAGGCACCAAGCACCTCTTTCCCCTGTTTATAAGCAAGATGGCTAACTGCACATTCAGGACAAGCTATGACAAACATTACCTCTGTTTAAGCCTGGGTAATCAGGTTTTCTCCACATGCAGCTGGAGGTAGGCATGTCCCATGTTGCAGTCTTCTGCCTCAGCAGCTAGCCTTTCTCCACAGACCAGTTGACAGAAACAAGGGAGCCAGTGTGAGTTGTTCTTATTGGTTTCAGAAATACAGAGGAAACTAAAGAACCTAAATCAGTAGAGGCTGTGGCCTTGACAGTTGAGCTATGGAGTCCAGGGCTACTCTGGGGGGAGAACAACACAGAGAGATGCCAGTACTCACAACATAAGGGAAACAGCAGTCAGCCCTCCATGATACAGTGTGTTCCTGGCTCACCTCCACACACATTATGCAAGCATGTGTTTTTCTTTTGGGTAGTGAAGTGTTTGATAGAAAAAAATGAATGTTCCAGATATTGTTTTCTTTTTCTTTCTTTTTTTTAAATGGTTTTTAGAAGCAGGATTTCTCTGTGTAACAGCTCTAGTTGTCCTGGAAGTCACTCTATAGACCAGGCTGGCCTCAAGCTCACAGAGATCCACCTGCCTCTGCCTCCCAAGTGCTGGGATTAAAGGTGTGTGCCACCACTGCCCTATGCGCAAGGACAGGCGTAATGGTCAATATGCACATCTGTGTGGACACGTGTTGCATGGCTTCCACCAATTGCTCATCTCTTCACTACATGGGTCAGAAGGGGGGCATGTGGCATTGCTCTGAGCTTTCCTGGTCCAGAAGAACACACTTCATATTCAATATTCCTGACCAATGTCTTCCTCAGAGGAACATTTGTCATTTTCTCCCTGTGGCCTTTAAAGTGCATTGCTGTACAAAGGTCAAGGCTATAAGAACCAGGAGAAGACAGACTTCTTTTCTTTCCCTGTCTCTGCTCTTTACCTCCAACACTTATGTCTGCACTTTGTATAGCAGAGAAAATGGAGGTGGGAAGCATCCTCTCAAAGTATTTCAAGGCAAGAAAAGGGAACATTGAAGAGGAAATTTTCCGAATTATTTTCCTTAGAATGTAGTTACCCTAACTAAGTAAATTCTTCCAGTGGGCTCCACAGGCCTGATCCCAGGTCTGATACACATGTGCATTGCATCTTTCCAGGAATTGCACCACTTGCTTCCCATCAAGTCACCCATTTAACCACATATGCAAGGAAAGGCCTTAGATGATGATGA